TGATGGAATCTCTTATTCTTTAATCTTTCCTTTAATCAATCGTTCCACAGAAACATAAATGTAAAATTTGAGAAAAAACATATAAATATACGAATATTCGTCATCTGATTATCTGATATATTTTCTATTCCATATTCGGTTTTGAATTTTTTCAGAAAAATATTTGGAACTATAATACCGTTTTAAAATTTATAAAAAACATGGAAATCTCTGCGTTATCCTAAGATATTTTCATACATTTTTTATACTCTTTTTCAACGAATCAAATTTGCATCAGTGCATGAGTGTTTTTCTTTTACACAGATCGAATGCATTAACTCTCCGGAATGGTCAGACTTGGACGTACGCGTGTTGTCCTTCCCGGAATTTTGCTACTTTCCGCCGATAATAGAGACATTCGAATCAATGTTCATCAACAATTGTGATTTATCGACTAACAACAGTTTAGGCGAAATCACGCAAACGCTAGGAATCACCAGCGTGATAAAGCTGGTCTTTCAATTGCACAAGAAATTGAACAAACTCAAGCATCATTTAGAGCATTATTTCGAAAATTTGAAGTCTCTGTCCTTAACGAACAACAATGTGTCCTACGCAGATAAAGATCTATTAGCTGGTCTAGTCAACTTAACGAACCTCAACTTGCGCGACAACAATTTACACCAAGTCACAGGATTTTTCAACTACACCCCCAAATTGCGGTTGCTCGAATTGAGCGACAATGCACTGCAATCGATAGAACCAGGCACATTCGACAATCTGAAAAATCTGTTGATTCTCAATTTATCGGTAAATCATTTAACCGAGCCTCGGTCGGGAATTTTCGACGAGCTCGTCGCTCTCCGAGAGCTCGATCTCAATACGAATGACATGGTCAGGTTACCGGAAGACATCTTCGCGAAGCTCGAAAACCTCGACGTTCTCAACTTATCTCGAAACAATTTCACAAATTTACCGAAGAATCTGTTACAAAATAACACGAAACTACGCAATTTCACTCTGTTTGACAACAAGCGAAATATGACAACCTTGCCAGATGCATTTTTCGCTAATTTAGCGAAACTGGAGGTGTTGGAATTGAAAAGGAACGGATTTGTCACGCTACCGGAAGATCTCTTCTGGGGATGTACTTCGCTAATTAATATCAATTTGGAACGAAACTATCTTCGAACCTTACCTAAATACATATTCTGGGATTTGAAGGAACTCAAAATTTTGAAATTAAATTTTAACAATCTTGGAAATTTGCATAATTTGATCTTCCGGGATACCGAGCATTTAGTAAAAATAGATTTATCAAAAAATCGAATTACCTCCATTTCCAAGTACGTTTAA